GTCGGTGTGTGCACCCAGACACGCGAGTTGCAATTGCGTCTCAGAGTCCGATCTCTACGCCGCCCGGCCTACGCGCCTTTGCGAACAGATTTCAGCAGGTCACTGGAGAAAATGATTTTTTACCGGTACAGTGCACAAACTGGTAAAAAAAATATATATCTAGATATGCTTTTGCTTCCATGTGGAGCCACGGAGTTTGTGCTTCTGCTGTACGTACGTAGCCAACCGTGCTAATGAGAGGTGCTGGGGGGTGTGGGGTGGGACGGCAAACGAAACGCAACAAGAAGCGAGCGGTTCTCAAGAAATGAGTTGTCAAGTGCCGGTGCTGGGACCGTGCTGGGACGAGCGCCCAGCGTTTCCGCAACGTTTGTACGACACCGTGACGTCGTTCGTTACCGGGCACCGTCGTTCCCGCAGCCCGTGCCACGTTGCGTTATTCTGCGTCGTACGCATCCGGATGAACGATGTTGTTGTTGTTTTCAAGACGACCCAAAAGTTGGGGTGACGCGTCTTGCTTTTCCGGCGGCAGCTTTGAATCTGGAGAATACGGAACACTCGGGCGAGCATTCTTATGCACACGCCACACAAATATACACGGGCAGTGATTCCCTCTTGGCCGTGAAGGACTGTTCTCACACACACACACACATGCGTGCACAGCATAGCTGCACGCGGCATAGATACTCGTGGCGTAGATACATGCAGCACACATACATGCAACACACATACATGCAGCATAGATATACACACACATATACGCCAGCACATGCTTGAGCAAACTGGTCCAATGATGCCTGTTCTTGTGAAAATGTTTATTTTGTCAACTGCTGAAATAAACACCGCTTCATTATTTGAATTTATAACCCAAGGCAAAAACGGAATATAAATGGAAAAATTTCATGCATGTTTTCTCTGTAAAATAAAGTACTTTTAAAATATATGAACAAAGTTTAATGGCTATAAAATGCTCTAAATGTTGTGTTCTGGTTAACTGACCACAATGATTAATTATATGTTAAGGAATGCGTATTCACAGAAATATCTGAATTTATTGTTGTATCAGCTTTCTTACGATGGCTTTATAATTAAACGACTGTTTTTACAAACGTGACCATAAGCAGTGAGTCACTTCACCCTTCGCCATTCCGATGACGTTACATTTACGTAATTGGTTTTTCTTCCGATAATTTTTTTTCCGGAATCGGAAGTTAAAGGCCAAGCGGTCGAGGGCGCGTCTGGCACAGTCTGGCGCCAACTATCATAGAGTGTGCGGTCGTGTCGCCACAGTTCTCTGCAGTGAGCGACAATGGCTTCAAATGCAGCGGCGCTACGACGCCTCTCTAAATAAAATTAGCGCTGAACCGCTCGCGCGTTTCCAGATTCAGCGGTGAACGGGACGACCCACCCTGCGATTTCCATACGTCTCGGAACGGGAACGGGTTAATAATCCTGAGCCTCGTCATTGACCGTAGTCCTCCCCGATTAATGTTCATAGAGGTGCACGATATCGAAATAATGAAGTTGCATTTCCACTCCTTCGTCGTCATCGTCGGCCATTTTCAGTCCACTGCTAAATTAAGCCCCCCCCCGCCCATACCCATCGTGTCATGATGAAAGTAATTCACCCAAGCACCTGCGCGAGAGGACACATTTCTTCGCTCCGTCACTTCTCGGGGAAACGTTCCATCGCCGAAGCCGCGGCAACCCATTTATATTGGGAGTTAACTCTGCAACGTGTGCATGCGAGGCCCTGACGTCATTAGATCCAGCCAGCTGGTGCTTGTGGCGCAGGCCTCAATCGGAATTGGCAGCCCGTGAGTTCACGTCCCTGCCTGGGGTAAACTTACTTACGGGGGGGGGCGGGGGAGGAATATAACATGAGCACTGCTTTCTTTGAAGTCGATTCTGGTAGTCCTGTGGGGAGACTGAGTCCTGCCATATGAATGTGTTATATTTCACCAGTGGGTCAGGGTCCTCAACTGAGATGATCTCGGAAAACTTTGACTTTGGATATAATAATGGTAATAGTCATTCGCAATTGTTTTCAATACGTTGCTGTATGAGAGGAATCCCCACACCGCATCGGTCATGGGGGCCATTTGACCATACTTCACCAGGCTGGTCAGTGCGGGATGGCAACAGCGGGTGCAGGGCCAGTTCACTCGTCATTGACGTTAGTTGTGGTCGGGAATCGAACTCGGGTTGCTGCCTTCGTATCGTGCGGTACTAACCACTGCGCCACCGGTCTGCCCCCCCATAACTGTACTTGTACGTGAAGGTAGCTCAGTAGACGTGGGTTCACAGTCAGAGTTTGGGATGCCACGGTGGCTAGGAGATGTTAACTCCCTCGTCTGGTTTTGCAGGAGGTCGTGGGCTCAATCCTGACCCTGACGCCTGCCGTATATTTGGAATTTGCATGTCACTCTCCCCGTGGTCGCGTGGATTTTTTCTCCCGGCCCTCCGGGTTTTCCCCTCTGCGTGCATAGGAGCACACGTTTCGAGTGTTGGGCTGCGATACATTTCTACGCGATGAGCCGACTTTTCTTGTCGAGGCACCATTTGTGACAGCCAGGTCGCGTCTGAAAAAAAGAGCCATGCATCTCGGTGGGCCTTGCTTGGTATTAATATCAAAACAAGTTTAGTTTAGATTCCCACAGGCCGCCCGAGATAATTTCCAAAATTGCGCCACCGTCTCTCGGTGTGAAATGGAAGGAGAGAGAGGGGGGGGGTTGGGGGGGTTTGGGGGGGGCACCTCTGGCTTTGGTTGCAAGGGACTGCCGGCAACGACATCGCGTTGCCGGTGTTTGGATGTTCGTCCAAACGGCCGCCGCCGCAAACGCTCGTCTCGATGGCCGCTGTGCGGTGGGGACACCACTTTTTTGTTGTATTTCAAGGAGGCCCCCCCCCCCCCATCCCTGTGCTTTATTGAATATGATTTTAATGAGAGAAAGTTAGCGTCGCAAAAACGATGAAATGGCCACTTTTTTGTTTGTTGTTAAATAAATAAAATATTCTGAAACAAAAAATGCGTCTGAAGATGATGAGCACGGTGAATGCTTGTGCCTGCAAATATCTCGGTTTGCGTTGGAAGGCCGAGGCAGGATTCACAGTTAAGGCAAAGATCGTTTTCGTCAACGGCAGCGAAACTTATCTATTATTTTTTTTTCTTCTCCCCGCGTTCCTTTCTTCTTTTCATCTTTTTTTCAGTCGTTTTTTTCCCCTGCTTGCAGGCTCGGCTGTTTGAAGTCTGTGAACCGGTCTCGGCATTTAAAAAAAGAAAAAGAATTGTAAATAAATAAATAAGCAAACATTACAACCACCACCCCCAGTGCAGCTTTGAAATGTTGATAGAAAAAAAAAAATCCTTTTTTGTTTTGATTTAATTTTTGAGGTTTGCGCAAGAGTCTCTATTGTTGTCGTTTGAAGCGCGACACTTTTCTGAGAGCTTTTCATGGTTTTGTTTTGCCTTGGTTGAGCCAATTTCCATCTCAACTTTGGAATTGAGTGCACTTCCATTGTGGTGCGTGCGTGCGTCGCGTGTGTGTGTACCTGTAAAATGTGACGGTGTTGCGCTTCAAGCACCTTGTGTTAGATCATGTGACGTAATGGCTCAATGAGTTAATTACTATAAATAAATTTCTCTCTTCTGCCTGTCAATTCCTGCTGCTTTGCGACCACTCGCTCATTCCATTTCCAGAGACCTCTCTGCAGGGAATTATCAACGTAACAAAGACGGGCCTGTTGTAAGAGTGAACATTACAGAATATTTATTTATACTGCAGGAATCCGATGAGCTATGAAGCTGTTTTTCACAGATGTCCACAGCATCGCATTTTGAGTAAATAATCGAGTCTGTACGGGTCTCATAGCCAAAGTCTTACCCCCCGGTATTATGATATGAACAATAACTTTCCCAGAAAGGTGAAGCCAATTTTTTTTTTTACTTTTAGCGGGGTCCTGCTTTTCCTGTGTGTGCCCTTTAACTTTGCCATGTTTTTTTTACAAATGAGAGACAAAGGGGGACCCAAGTAGAAGCTGACATCTTGTACAACTGTTGCCATTTATCTTCTTGGTTCTTTCGGTGAAGTCACGTAGAAGGGAAATAATAAAATAATAACAATAATACATTATAACTTATTATTTCCCTTCTACGTGACTTCACCGAAAGAACCAAGAAGATGAATCCCTGCAGTCACGAAAGCTTTAAATCGAAAGAAAATGTTGCCATGTAGTTCGCGATAACCCAGCCTCCCCATGACGGGGACGATCTAGGGGATTATTACTTAGTTTTTTTGTTGTTGTATCAATTAATATTCAAATGACGTTCATTGATTGGCCGATCGAACTCGTTTTTGTGTCATAACGCTGAGATTGTTGCAGAGGTTCGCGGATCGTATTTGGCAGGTCTCCCTGGTTAATACTGCGAGTGTATTAACCGTGTAATAGGCGCTGCACAGTGGACGTTTAGTATCCCCCTGATGTCATCCGCGAGGAGCAGGGTTATGGTCTAAATTTGCCAACTTCAAAAAGTTACCCTCAAGTTACTCAATCGGGAAAGGCATAGCGGTCTTCGCCCCCCCCCCCCCCCCCCTTACTTTGTATGCCTGGCGCTGCGTCGCCAAGGGCTGTCCTACACAGGGACAGCTGCCACTGGGCGCGCTTCGCAATGTTTGAGATGAGACGCGGTGCAAGGCGTTTTGAGTTTGCCGAGGCAATCGAAGCAAGCGTCGCATAAATGCAGAGGTTGTATGCGTGTACGTTGCACTTTTTTGCGCACCGTACGTTGCCAACCATGCTGATCAGAGGTGCGGGAGAAGGACGACAAACTAGAGACAAGAAGCTATTCTAAAGAAATGAGTCTTAAATCTAAATGAGTTTTCATTCCATTGTTACGCGTTAGCTTGTTGTGCTGCTGCTGCCTGCCGTGTGTGTCCCACGCCTCCTAAGCGTTTGCGTCTCTCGTTTGTGCTTCCCGACCCCCCCGACCCCTCGCTGAGCAGGTCTACGCGCCGTCGCCATCGCAAGACGACTACAACCGCGAGTCCCCGGGCTTCCCCCCGGCCAAGCCGGCCTCGAGCATGTTCTCTGGGACGTACTTCATGCAAGGTGGGCGCGAGGGCCTCTCGCGAGGGCCTTTGGCGAGGGCCTTTGGCGAGGGCCTTTGGCGAGGGCCTTTGGCGAGGGCCTTTCGGGAGGGCCTCCCGTGAGGGCCTCTCATGTGGGCACCACAGAGGCTGTGTTGTTGGGCGGTGGGATGCAGCGTGGGTACTCCTGTCTTTACCGAGAAAATTTGTCCAGCGTGGAAGAGTAGACCAAATACCCACTTATTTCACACTGTACGTAGCCAACCATGCTAATCGAAGGTTACAAGGGGAAGGCCACCAAACGAAAACACCAAAAATGGGTTCTAAAGAAATTTTTTTTGCAATTTCGATTTCAAAGCACATAGCTCAAGAGAGAGACCCCCTCTATTTACTCGAGGGCCTCTCTTGAGCTCCCCTCTGTAGCGGAGGCCATTTCTGCCGGCACCATCAGCGAGCGCGTGCGGGGAAACCCATCGCAGGACCGCGCTTTTTTAACCATTCACCCTCGCAGGAGTCGAACCTTCAACTTCCGCACACACGACGGCCTCGGTGGTGAGCGTGGTGCAGGCCCCCTCCCTGGGCGGGGCGGGGGAGGTTTTCTTTGTCACGGACAGAAACAGGGATATCCAATTGCAGTCGGTTCGACTTGAAATGTTGGCTGGGTTTAGGATAAAATAAAAACAATTCTAAGAGTTAGCCGCTTACAAATCTATCCCCCCTTTCTCTCCGCCCCGTCCAAAAAAAAATCACACCGGCTGTGGATCGTTGCATTTGTGAATTGCGTGACGTATGTTGTTGCTTATAACAAGTGGAGGAAGAAGGGGGGGGGGGGGGCTTCAAGGAAATAAGCAAAAAAGCAACGGTGTTAGTAAATTCTCCAGCTGCATGTGGTTACGTAATCGCCCGCGCGGCCCCGTTCGTTCTCCACCAGTCCGCTTGCACTTTGTTTTGCCTTTTAACCGCTTGATGAGAGTGCCCCATTGCTTAATGAGAGGGCCCATTGCGGCTGCGACAATGACGTTCCGTTTTACAAGCAAGGCTGCATTTTAAACATAGAGGTGATTACCGAAAATAATTGGTGAGCAGCGTGTGAGTGTGTGTGCAAGAGAGAAAAAAAATGGTTGTAGAAAGCACTCAGCCGAAAAAAATGTGCCCCAAATGCAATCGCAATGGATGGGGGGGGGGGGGGGGGTAATGGCTGACGATGATGAAGATAAGAATCGCTGTGAAATGTCCGCTTCCCCGATTCGTTTTGAATGTCGTTCCCGGAAGTCGGCTTTTGTCTTCAAAATATGCCCAGAATTTGTTTCCTTAACCTTATTTCAGGCAGCGCACAAAAAAGAAGGGAAAGAAGCCGGTTTATTTGTCTTTGAAGTGAAAATAAACCCCGCGCGTAGGCCCCCCTTTACACGGACGGCCAAAGGGAAGTCTGGAATGTCACAAATCGTGCGAAACGCTCCGGGGTTGGACTGAAGCGTGTGGACAGGGCGCAGGGACGTACGCGCGTCTCGAACAAAAGTCTCAAAGTGTGCCGAGTGTGAAACGCACGGCGCTGTGGTGCGTTTCGTTTGTTTTTACAAAAATACGATTCAGCAAACTGAGACACCCCCACCACCCCCTGCCTCCTTTGTGGATTTTAAAATCGCAGACAACCTCACCTAAGTCAGTACCTGGGGCGGTGTGTAAACATCGCCACTGGGGAGACGAAGGCGTCCCGGTGTGGTGTTGGCCACCCACCCCCTCGTGTGCAGTGCCGGCCTTCATAGGTGCTCGCTAACAGCACTTTCCCCAACAGTCTGTTAAGGCTATTCGGGGGACCTTTGTCTGTGCGTTTACGCGTGTAATTTATGCGCGTGTGTTCGTGTGCAGTAGCACGGTCTTGTTTGTCTGCTCATCCGTTGTCTGCCCGCGCCCGCGTGTCTCTTCCCGCTTTGCCCGATGGCGGATACAGATGGGCCTCACGTTCCTAACGAACTGTGGCCCCCCACAAACGGGATGAACCATTCTGGCTATGGAGGGGTCCTGGGGGGCCCCCCGGCGCACGTGGCGCAGTCAGCGGGGGGATACGGCCCGGGGATGCACCCCCACGAGCGGCTGGTGAGTGACCCCGCCTGCTTCTCCCCTCACACCTGGTGTCGTCTATGCATGCGTGCGTGCGTGCGTGCGCGCGCGCGTGCGTTGTTGTTGTTGTTGTTCAGTCGGTCAACTCATGGCACCTGGGTCTGTGCTGTGACTTCCTGCCAGCGGGCGTTTCGACAGCCTCACGTGCACGTAGCCTGGCGCAAGCGCCGTGGTGACGTCACCGCCACGTAGTGGCGACTGGCGGTTGTTGTTGTGTTGCGTTTGCGCGTCTTTCCAGCGTGTGCCCTGCTTGTGTGCCCTGCTTGCGTTGTATGTGCTGAGCGGGGGAGCGGGAGCGGTAGTGTAGCGGTTAGCGCTACGCTATGAACCCGGCAATCCGAGTTCGATTCCCACTCACTGCCACCAACACCGGTGACGATTATCTGAACCGGTCATGGGCCTCCCCCAAGGTCGACTCAGCCTCAAATGAGTACCCGGTGTGGTGTGTAAACATCGCCAGTAAGGAAAAAAAGGCGGTCTGGCATGGTGCTGGCCACCCACCCCCTTGTGTACCGTGCCGACCTTTTTTTCTGATGTGTTCCGTCTGTCACGGAAACGGTGTGTTTTTATTTATGAAACCCGACTTAAGCTCACAGTGTACTTCAAAGTAGACTGAACTGAATTGAACTTTGGTGCTCACAAACAGCACTTGCCCCGACAGTCGGTTAAGGCTATTTGTGGGATCGTTGTCGTTGTGTGTGTGTGTGTCGTGCATCTTCCCAGCATGTGTCCTGCTTGCGTTGTGTGTGCTGAGTCCGTTGCGTCCCCCCCCCTCCCCCGTTTGCGCACGCCTTGGCAACTAACTGTGAGTCGTCCGCGTCTTTCGTTTGCGTCTCCTGCGTGTAGTGTGCGTCCCACATGTGCCCCATCTATCACGCGTGCGTCTTGTGTTGCTCCGCGTCATAACGTGCATGTGTGTGTCTGAGTTGTCTATCGTTCGTCGCGCTCGTTTTCCGTGTCTGGCTAGCGTCGCGTCGCGTCCTGTGTGCCTCCCGTGCGCCCCTAACCGCGTGCGACCCTGCGCCCCGCCCGCTTTCTCAGTCGCAGGGATACCCGGGACGCTCGGTGTCTCCGGTCGACATGAACCCCACCCTGCCCCCCATGAGCAGCTTTCACAGGGGTGCGGGCGGCGGCGGTGGCGGCGGTGGCGGCGGCGGCCCCTCCATGCAGCAGGGCGGCCCCCCGTCCTCGTACGGCCCCGGCTCGGCACGCACCCCCCCAATCAACGGCTCCGACGCCATCATGGGTAAGCGCGTGACCAGGCGGGTACGTTGGCGGTCCCCCCCCCACCCCGCACGCCGTCTCGGCGTGTACGCCGCGTTCGCACCACCGCGGCGAAGGGCGCCGGTTAGGGTCACGAATCGACGAATCGGGCACCGTACCGAGCGGCTCGCGTTCGTGAGCAGCCCCCGCTCCTCTCGTCTCCTGTCTCTCTCTCTCTCTTTCGCCCCGGGCTCCCCTCGGGCAGCGGCCGTGACCTCATGGGGTCAACGCGCAGGAAACGGCACTCGTAGTCAGGTGCCCCCGTCAGGCACTAATTTCATGCCGAGCTGACCTAGCAGAGGCCCGGGATTCAGAGTGCGGCTCCCCCGCCGCTCCTCGCCAACCGCGGTCGGGTCCGCGCGAGCGAGCACTCGCTGGCAACAAAGGGACCCAGTTCTACCAGACCTTCTCAATTACCCGCGGTTTTTTTTCTTCCTGGATTTATAAACAAGTTGGACCGTGGCCAGCAAGTATCACCAGAAGAAAGCAATAAAGAAATTGAGGGAAAGAATCAAAACGTTGTTGAGGTTTAGTTCAAGGATGATATTGAGCAGACGGTTTTAATCTGAGCGAGGCATAGGGAAGTGGTAAGGCCTGTCAATAGGCGTCCGCTGCTTCGTGCGCAAATACAACCCTGACAGGCCAGTGCAAGAAGTGAAACGCCCAATAGTTCAATACAACCCGAAATGCACGGAAAATATCTCGCCGCCGTTACGTTTGTTCTGCCGTGTTGCTCTCGGATGGCCCCACGGGGCTCCCGCTGGCACCTCCCAGCAGGCACGTGCCGAGAGCTCGCCCGTCGTATCTTCTGCAGCGGACAAAGCGGCGTAGGCCATGACGGGCCAATCCTTGCGCGCTTCGAACCGGGTGTGGCTCGTGTGGCCGTGCACTCGATCCATGGGCCCCGCCCCCCCCCCACTATCCCGAGGGTCTTGGGATCCGGCCGAGTACTCGTTGTAGCGTCCTCGTCGGAACCCGAGGAGGGGGTCGCCCTCGCAACGGAAGCGATGTTGATCCGCGCGTCTCAAAGCGTTAATTTAATCTCCTGGTTCAACGAAGGGTACGACAAGCACGCTCGTGGTTCAACTTCACCTCTTCCCGTTCCTAGACGACTGCAAGTGGCCGCAGGGTGGGTGTCCCGTTCACCGCTAAGCCTTGGAACGCGCAAGCGGTTCGGTGTTAATTTTATTTAGAGAGGCGTAGCGCCGTTGTTTTTTAAAGACATCGTACTCGCCGAAGAGAACCTTAGCGACACGACCACGCTCTACGATAGCCGGCGCCAAACTCGAGGAAGGGCCCCCCCTCCCCTTCTCCTCCCCCGCACTGCCGCGAGATGTCGCAGCAGGTAATCCCGTGAGCGCAGAGACGCGCTCGCCTCTGGGAATGAAGTTTTGACGGTGGTGGACGGGAGTCGAACGGAAGAAGAACAAAAGAAGGTCGTCCTGTTCTTGTTCTTTTCTCGAAACCTGGATGGCGCGAACGAAGATCGCTTACAATGTCCTTCGACTGCGCTTCAGTCAACACAAAGCCTGCCGCCCACGAGTCTTCTAATCGTCGCAAGTTTGCATTCTGAAACGTCGGTACCCGTAGCACACTTTTGGCAGTTCCATAATAATGAATTAATCAACTCGACCACGGAAACGATGAAGTCATGCAGCCATCATGCAGCCAATTGCTCCGGAAAACGTTTTACAATGCACTAATTTATTGGGTAATAGCTGTGCTTGTTACTTTCATTATTGTGAACTTTTAACGACTGTTATTTCATAAATATTTTGTCAGGAAATGAAATATTTTAGGAAAACCAAACAAGCAGCGACAATCACGAACCGACAAAATCGCTCGCGTTAATGCCGGTCCTCCACCCCCTTCACTGACCTGCACTGACCAGCGTGGTGAAGTATGGATAAACAGACCATTGCGGTCGACACGGCATGAAGGAGACCCGTCATCCAGCAGCGGATTGCGAAAAAGGCTGAAATGATTCCATTTGTTAATCAGAACTCTTGCGACCAAGTATCGGCCTGCACCTTTTGCGTGGGGGAAATTGGCCCCGGGCTGTGCGATTTTCCTGCAGGCGATCGTCCCCTAATGGTGTCAGCGGTGCTCTTTGCAACGCAAGGTTGAAGCGCTTCCCTCGGCAGCAGCGGCCCTCGCTCGCGAAGTGAGGGGGGCGGGGGGGGCCCTGTGTGAGCGTGTACAGGGGAGAGTCGCGTTGGACGCGCACTCTGCTCATGCCCCCGTGTGCGGTTGAAGCGACTGAAGTCCGGTGGGAATGGGCAGAACGCGTCACGTCGAACAACCGACGACAGACGGGGGACAAAAAACTCCCGAGCGGAGGCCGAGAGAAGGGAAGCAGAGGAAGCCGGCCGGAGAGGTGGCAGCTGCGGGACGAATTCATAGTTCGGAGGTCAACCGAGGAAAGGAAGGAGTGATAGAAAATGGGGGGGGAGGCCATTCGCTCAGCAGTAGGAAGTTACAGGCTGACAACAATGTGTGTGTGCGCTTGTGTGGGGAGCGGTTGCGTAACGCTGTGAACCCGGCAACCCGAGTTCAATTTCCACTCACGGCCAACACCGGTGACGAGTAACTGAACCGGTTCTGGGCCTCTCCTAGGTCTACTCAGCCTCAAATGAGTACCTGGTGCGGTGTGTAAACATCGCCACTGGGGAGACAAAAGGCGACCGGGCGTAGTGATGGCCACCCACCCCCTCGTGTGCCGTGCCGGCCTTGATAGGTGCTCGCTAACAGCACTTGCCCCAACAGTCTGGTAACGCTATACGGGGGATCCTTGTCTTTGTGTGCGTGCGTGTGCGTAGGTAACAGGCCGGGTGGGGCGAGCGGAAGCTCACAGACTGGCGACGCTCTGGGAAAAGCTCTGGCGTCGGTGAGTTTGCGCACGCACACACACGCACACACGCACACAGGCACATCCGCACGCACACACCCACACAAGCAGCGCCGAGTGGGCCCGGCATTCCTCGCAGAGCTCCCACAATGTGTTCCCCATGTATGACCACCTACGCATACAATTAACATTAAAGTAAGTGGGTAACGGGATTTGTTGAAAGGGCTGGAAGGAAATAACTTTTGGCTTCACGGGCTGATGGGCGCTTCTGATTATAACGTTTCTCGGTATCGTTTTGTTGCGAGCAGAAAGCGTTGTGCTTTGACTTCACTCGATGAAGTCGATTTGGCACGGCGTGGTATCGCTAAGCAAATCGTCCAACTCAGCTGTAATCTGCTTATTTAAATCCAAACTTGTCGCGACCAAACAGCTTCTAATAATCCTGCTTTCATTTCGGCGAGGGGAATTAATGTTACTTTTACCATTACGGGCGTAAGGATGGTGCGGTGGCAACATTTCCTGGGTTCGACACCCAACTGGTGGGGGTGCCTTTCCGCGTGGAGTTTGTACGTTCTCCACCCTGTTCTGCATGGGTTTCCTCCGGGTTCGTCGTTTTCCTCCCATCGCTGTTACAAAAAAAAACATACGTACAATGGTACTGCTAGCGGCCAAACATCCCGATGCTGAAAATTTGCTTGCAAATGACTCAATTGGGATCGCATGCGGCAAGCAGCAGTGTTGCCTGCTGTGAAAACTTGGCCGGGCCCTCCTGAAAGAGCCTTGAAACCCGGTGAGGCTTCCTGGGTAAACAAGTCGTAGTAGTAATAATAAAACAATAAGAATTGTTAAGAAAAGCCTCACTCATTCTCAAGACTGTAACTCATTCATAAAGGAGCCTGCTTGGCGAATATTATTTTTTATTATTTTATTATTTCCCTTATACGTGACTTTACCGAAAGAACCAAGAAGATGAATCCCTGCAGTCACGAAAGCTTTAAATCAAATATTTGTAGTTTAGTATTTTGCTTTTCCCCACAGGGGGATGCTTATTTATTATATATATTTTTTGTGGACAGATATATTAAAACAAAGATTATGTTCCCAATTCGTTTTTTTTATTACTCTGAGTTATAAAAAAAAAAACAATCGGGCCTAGAAATTTCGGATGATCCTAAAACATTTTTCTTTCTTATTGTTCCTAAAATATGTCGTCATCACAGGAAGTGATGTCATTTACATGTCCTCATAGGAAATGATGGCACCTTTGCGTGGCATCGCTTCCGTGTTTGTCCCGGCACGAGTGCGGTGGTCAAGTTGACACCATTTTGACGACGTGTGACGCCATTTTTCTCAATTTAAAATATTAATGTTTTCGTTACAATTATTATTTACGTAAAACAATGTGAATCAGCTACTTACATTCAAAGGTTGTTAAACCGATTCATGTTATTCAGGTTTAACAGCAGTGACCGCCGATAGATAATAATATAATCATTATATTGGTCAATTTTATAATTCATCCAAATTGCATCCAAAAAAAGCCCGTAGAATTTATAACGCACGGATTTCCGCGTGGGAAACCACAAGGCAAGCGAGAAGGCAGCCAGACCCTGTGACAACAATTGCCCAAGTTCTGTGCTCCTATATGTTTGGCCAACTGATCCAGGCTGGATGACGCTCGCCTGTAAGGCAGAGCTCTGGAGCCAGTGTCGGTCGATCAAACCCATTTCGCCCTGCGCCGTGAAAGCTCCCCCAACGTACGAGCACGGCTGCTGCGGCGGCATGCATGTACGTACGTCGAACTGCTTTCGCGTACCGTACGTAGCCAACCGTGCTAATCGGAGGTGCGACATCAGTGCGGAAGGCGAGCGTGGGGGCGCGTGGTGCACACGCGGCGCAGCTATGCGGGTCCCGTCCTGGTGTCCGCTCGGGGTTTTCTGCGCCACTCTTTTCTCCCACACGTAAAAAGGCTCGCTAAAGAGCGAAAATGACCGAGCATCGTAATGTGTAGGACCCTTGCGAAATGGGTCACTTGAGACCTTAGGAGATGATATATGGCTTTGTTATTGTTATCGCTACCGCAGGGGATGGAACAACAACAGCAAGTGGCAGGAAAGGATGTATATTCTTAGGTTTTTTCGGTAAAGTCACGTAGGTAAAAAATAAAAATAAAAATTTATAAAAGTAAAATAAAAATCACGACGTTTCGGAGGCAACACAAGCTTCCGTCTTCAGGTGGAACCGTCACAGCACGATTGCTGTATCTTACTTGTATCTTACTTGATACAGCATTCGTGCTGTGATGGTTCCACCTGAAGACGGAAGCTTGTGTTGCCTCCGAAACGTCGTGATTTTTATTTTACTTTTATAAATTTACATTTTTTACCTACGTGACTTTACCGAAAAAAACTAAGAATATGAATCCTTGCAGTTACGAAAGCTTCAAATCTAGAAGGAAAGGATGTATTGCGCAGAAGAGGGGCACGCTAGCTGGTGATGAAGTGTTTAAGTTTGGACCGTCGTGGGTGACAGATCTCAAGCCCCCAAAAAGGCTGCGGCCTCTGGCATCAGTTTTGGAAAAAAAAATTAGTTGAGCAGTCGATTGCCAACGTCTGATGACATTCACGTTTTTGATAATAGCCGTGTCCATCCTTTTCACCAGTGATTAACTCTGTCGCCTCGTTCATTGGACACGTTATTAATTTGTGTTGGTTTTTTTACGCTAATGGTGTTTGTGCAGCAGCGGCGGTGGATTCAGGGGCGCCCATTGCTTTGTAAAAGACTCGCTTTTTCCAAGCTTCCCTTTCTTCAAATTCTTCTAAACGGTGAAACCGTGTTATGAGCACCATTATTGCCGCTCAGATGGAACACACGGCTCGCTTTAGAGTTTCTTTTAAGAGCAAAAGACCTACCCCCCCCCCCCCCCACACATTAAATTGAACTTGAGCCAAGATTTTCCCTCTTTGGCCAGGCTTCGTAATTGATGAGCCTGTCTGAAAAAGAAAAAACGGGAGGGAAGAAACATCTGGTGCAATTCAGCAGCCGCGCTGAGCGCCAACTCAAACCAGTTTTAAGACACCGTGATTGATACCGGCTGCGGCGCTTTCATATACACGGCTCTATGCAGTACAGTGTACGCATTTGTATTTTGTGAGCCAGTGGGGTTGTGTGTACGCGTGTGTGTGTGTCAGTTGGTGCTCGTGTGTGTACGTGTGTGGGGGGTGTGTGTGGGGAGCGGTAGTGTCGCGGTTAGAACACCGCTCTACGAACCCGGTGAACCGAGTTTGATTCCCGCACACAGCCAACACCAGTGACGATTATCTGAATCGGTCGTGAGCCTCCCCTGGGTCGACTCGGCCTCAAATGAATGCCTGGTGCGGTGTGTAAACATCGCTTTTGTCGAGTGTGCTGCTGGCCACCCGCCCCCTCGTGTGCCGTGCTGGCCTTCATAGATGCCATTCGCTAACAGCGCTTGCCCCAGCAATCTGTTAAGGCCGTGGAAAGCGTCAGTGGCAAGCGAACTATGGAATTGTTCCTGAGCCTCTCCTTAGTTTACTCAGCCTCAAACAACTACCTGGTGCAGTCTGTAAACATCAGCAACGGGGAGGCTAAGGTGGTCCGGTGTAGTGCAGGCTACATCACCCCCTTGTGTACCATTCTAACCGTAATAGGTGCTCGCTAACACCTTAATGTGCCTGCACGTCGAGCTGCGGTTCGCTTGCTGCGGAGAGCAGCGAAACTGGTGAGCGTGGCAGCGCGCTGCGATGCCGCTGGCGCTGCGTGAGACTCTGGTCTGCGCTCGGCGTCGGTGGAAATCGACGTTCGAACTCGGCCTGGGTCTCTCCTGTCGACCTGGCTGAACACGAGGGGCTCCCATGCTTTCCCGTCTCTGCTAGGGAGGCGAAGGCACGCGCGTGCGCGCTCGCTCATACGCGTGCACCAGCGGTTGTGGTAGATCTGCCAGCCTTGCTTGATAAATAAATCAATAGCCCGCACGGTCGCGTGTGGCATCAGAAGGCATTTATCCAGTGTGGTTTGACAAAGGGCGGCTAAAAAAAATATATCATCGTCGTCGTCGTGTGCATGTATGGACATGTCTGCGGAATTCACTGACTTATGTAAGAGTGTACATTCATATTTCTGACATCTTAAAAAAACTACAACCCCAAAAGAATGCATAGTTACACATGAGCAGTTGTACATCAGTTGTTGTTGTGGAAAGTAGATAAGTAAATAAAAACGTGGGTGGTTGGGTGGGCAACGTTCTGTGGATACCGTTCGTTGACAGTTCCTTGCGTGTGTGTGTGCGTGCGTGTGTGTGCGCTTGTGTTTGTGTGTGCGTGTGTGTGTGCGTGTGTCCCCCGACCCACTCTCTCTTCTCTGCCATCGCAGATTTATTCTCCCGACCACACGAACAGCAGCTTCCCATCAAACCCCTCCACGCCCATCGAGTCTCCCCCTCCACTCACCGGTAAGAGAGCCCACGTGCCCACGTCTGCCCTTGTGGTGCCCATTCCACGGCGGTTGTCCTATGGGTGGACTCACCCCTGCCATTGGATTGTGGAATCCCCTCGACTGGCTGGGGGATGCATTGGTTTTATTTTGCGTAGAGCCGTGAGTTGTGTTCTGTCTCACCACTGGTTTGCTCCTTGTCTCCTGGTGGTCTCTGAAATCCAAATGAACAGGAATGCCACAAACGCAACTCAAAACATCTATGGCGGCCCTTTTTGCCGGCTTCAAGATGATGAAAAAAGAGTAGGCTTCACCCCCTTCTGGCAGGACTACAGGAGGAGGTGCTAAGGTGTTCAAACGCCAAATAGACACCCATTGCAAGGTATTAAGTCTGTTTCAAGGACAGCGCATGCATTGCTGAAGCGTAAGTGTTTGCATGTTTCACCACAAGTACGTGTGGTTAATGCCGACTGGACGCCTGGTAATAATAGGTGTCTGTTTGGTGCTTGAACATCTTAACACCTCCTGTATTGTTGCCAGAGTAAACTTCTAATATGTTCGCCACGCTCGTGCGAGCGTGGCATTCATATTGGCAGCCCTGAGACATTGACGTGGCAGGGACGATTCTGTCCCGACCCAACTCCGGACCCCCTCGATGAATGTTGTGGCGGCCTTTCCAGTTGGCGCTCCATTTCTTGTGATCTGGACAATGCAACGTGGCATTACATTGAACGTGTGTGAAAAATAGATTTGTAGCCCATCCGGATTCCTCCAGAAGGAGAAAAAATATTCCCATTATGATATTGGGCGGCTAGTGCCTTGCAGTGAGTGGGTCCTGGGTCCGATTCCTGAATGCGGTGCCTCCCTGTCTGAAGTTTCATGTTCCCCGCCCGCTGTTTTTCGCACAGTTTATCAACACGCCGCGTGACTGGTATTGGCCAAATATCCCAAATGCAAAAAATAAATAGGCCTCTAAATGACTCATTTGGGATTACACAGCAGCGGCAAGTTTAGTTTTGTCTAAACGTGACGCTCTGCGAGGCGGAAGGGTCAGGTGGGGGAAATGTCTGCCGTTGTTCCTACGCTCGTATATCTCTGCAGGAGTGGTCATGCGGGGGACTGTGGGGGTGTGTTGGCGCGCGTACGAGTTGGCACGTGCGTACGCACGCTCACGTGGGTGAGCGCAGCCTGGCCTGTCCTCAGACTCTTGTCCAAGCGCCCGTCGGAGAACAGCCCCGTCAGGCCCTTGTCAGAATCGGAATGTTTATTTGTACTGGGGGAATCCGGTGAGCTGTAAAGCTCTTTTTCGCAGATGTTCAGTAGTGGCGGGTCAGGATTTTTTCAGCATCAAACCAAACAAAGACACGATAGGAGTGCAAAGTATAGGAAAGGTAAGAAAATCGCAGAAAATAATGTTTAGCATTGTTTGTGTTGGGAAAATGAGACTGGGGCTGTGCTGGAGAGAGACGACATTGGTAGATGTTCCTATCACGGCGACATTGGGAGATGTTCCTATCACGGCGACATTGGGAGATGGTCCTATCAGAGGTGGCAGAGGAGAGCTGGGTACCGTGACTGCAGCGAGAGAGAGAGAGCATCATCGGATCCACGTCCTGCTGGCTCTAGCCCCGTGTGGTTACCACCACCCCTTTCCTCACCCCTCCCCGCCGCCACCCTCTGTTGCCGCGTTCATTCAAAATGTACGCTTCATTGAAAGGCGGGGGAAGCAGGGGGCGCGGGGGGGCGCGGGCTCATGGTTATTGGTGGATGTTGTGGGCAGGAGGAGAGCTTTGCGGGGACAACGATGACTGCCGGTCATGCTCGCGGGAAGAAGTAGTGGGTGGGGGGGGGGGGGCATTTTTTTTCTTAAACCGTAAAAACCATTGGCAGCGCTTTAAAGGAACCCACAGCTGCGTTAAGTTTGCCGTACGTGAGCGTTGCTGCGAGCGCTGATGGTCACGGCGCCGCGCGGCTCCGATGCTGCCGGGGGGTTTCGTTCCCCACCTGCGACCGCGGTTCCTCTCTCTTCTCTTTTAGTTCCCCGCTTTGCCCCCCCACCACCCTCCCCGCCCCCCCCACCACCCCCACCTCGTTCTGTTTGATAATATTTTTTTCCCCCCTTTTTTTATTGAGCTGAAAATTTAAACCAGGCCTTTAGCCCACCAGCCCCCGCCAGCCCCCACCCGCTTCATGCCTCCGTAATTCGATTAGAAATGCATACAGCTCTGAGCCGCGCTGCTTGGAGCCACGTTTGTGCGTTTGAAAACCTATGGAGATGGTCTTAATGCACCTTGCGTTCGTGGAGCCGCGTGCGCGTAACTCCACCTGGAGTTACGTGGGGATGCTTTGACAAAGGTTGCCCATTGGTCGGTGGTTAGTCGACGAATGGTATGAATGTAATGAGCACTCGACGCGGATTTTTTTCGTGAACAAGCATCCAGATCGCACGCAGGGCAGCGACGATCGCACAGAGCGGCACGCAGACGATCATTATTATTGCGCACTCATCTAGCATGGATGTATATTATTCAAATTCCACTTGCAGTTTCTAAGTGCGCAAATAGAAAGCAATGCTTTAAAATTGTTTTTTATATATACTGTACCATTTTGGCACCTAATGAATGTACTGTGAACTGGAAGCCTGCGCTTTAAGAGACCTTAAATGGCAACGTGAATGACCTCCACTGTGACCTCTACGTTCACTTGCTCTATTACCTAGCGCAATTGCGACGCGACTGCGCGGGAGGGAATTCTGGGTGTGGAGGTTGAGCGAGGCTTGGTGCATCACACAGAGATGGAACCAGTGTGCCTATGTGACTCCCACCTGCAGGACAATCAAAACTAAAAGTAAATATTTTTTTTATATTCTACCAGGTAAGGCCCACTGCGCTATCTCGCGCTTTTTCAGAAGCAACCTGGCCACAATTGATTTCTCAACGAAGTGGCTTATCACGTGGAGATTTATAGCAGCTAAACACTCGAAATGCACGTTGTTTCTAAATGTGAAAGGAAAAACCGGAGGACCCGGAGAAAAATCCACATGACCATGGTGAGAGAGACATGCAAACTCCAAATATACAGCAGGCATCAGGGTCGAGATCGACCCTGACCCTAACGGGCGAGGGAGTTAACATTTCGCCACCACGGCGGGAGTGCAGCGAGTAGGTTTATGGCCTACCCATTTATCCCACGATTATAAGAGATGTACCAAACGTCCAAAAGCTGGTCCTTGTTGAATGAAAGTTTAGAGGTTTGAACGAGACGTTTTCGAGTCAATCCAGCGCGATATATTTACAGTTATCCCACTCAAATGATCGGGAGAAATCGTAGAGAAAACAACGTTCTACTTCAAAGCCTCTAAATCTCCCACCAATCTCAAACCCATTATTAAACATCTCTAAGATATGAACCTTTCCTTCAACAATATTCAGTCACCTCCTTGAGAAGAGAGGAAGATGATCTTTAGAAATCAGCGGGGTAGCTGTAAATGTATCGCCCTGTCTGTATGCACATCTCTTCACGTGTGAAGTCAAAGCCGCGTTGTGTGTCACCGCAGTGGCCCCTGCTTCGTGGCAAAGAGCTTCATCTCAAGGACCGTCATCTCCCAACTACGAGAGCTCTCTCCACACCCTGGTGAGTCCCAGTTCGAGTACGGGGTCTGCCCCCTATGCTTGCGCCATGGCCGGTGAGACCTGTCGCGCGGTCTTGGAGAGCGCAGGGGTTCAGCGCGTGAGCGGCCGAGTTAACTTCACACGGAGCGGAGCTTGCAATCTTCACTGCCTGGCAATGTCTCCGTGGGGGGGGGGGGGGGGGGGGGATAAGGGTTATTTGATTTACAATAAAATAATAAGTAATATTTTAAAATACTTTTTTTAAAACACGCTTTAATGAAATGTACAGTCTGAGTAATGGCAGAACTCCACAACTCCAGGAAGTGGCCCCGAGGCTTGCCATAACGTAAGGGGCCGTGGTGATTTACAGTCAACGTGAGTTGAGCGTGGACAATTATACCCAAGCCAAAACATAAGATGTGAAAAAGATTGCTTTAAACATTTTTTATTTATTTTTAATGATATCATATAGTATTGTCATCAGTATGACATACGTATACCAAGTTTGCAGCCGATACGACATTGGGAAATGGGTTAAAATTGAGTTACAAGATTTGAGGATACGACAACAGACAGAGTTGAGGATACAACAGACAGAGTGAGTTAAAGAAAAGCGTGTAATAAAAAGAGACATCGTTCGCACGGGCGGGCCCCTTTTGCGTGCCCGTGTCGTCGTGCAAGTCTGAAATGTGACATTTCTTTGCGACAGTTCGTAGCGATCGTCGCTGCTCAGCCGCGGCTTCCCGTGTCTCCCTCGCTGACGTGACCGAGGCCGCCACTGGTCCCTCGGCTTTTTCACACCAAGAGCATTGACGGCCGGTGGCAGCAGTCGGCAGGAATGTGTGGCTGGTGTGGTGGCTACGGCCCACATCGAGAGAACCAGGCCAGCACTGCTCATTCGTTAGTTTGGAAATAAGTAAATAATGCGCACGATTTTAAACTTGTATGGGACATTCAGAGGTGTGCAAACTGCCGGCAAGCAGTTGGAGTTGAGCGCATTTTGCAAGCGGCAAGTTAAATCGTCCTAGCCCAGTTGATTATACTTGAAAAAGACAAAGATCCCCCGTGTAGCCTGAACAGACTGTTGGGGAAAGTGCTGCTAGCGAGCACCTATGAAGGCCGGGCACGTCACACGAGGGGGTGGGTGGCCAGCACCACGCCCGACCGCCTTTGTCTCCCCAGTGGCGATGTTTACACACCGCACTAGGTACTCATTTGAGGCTGAGTCGGCCTAGGGGAGGCCCAGGACCGGTTCCGATGATCGTCACTGGTGTTGGCCGTGAGCGGGAATCGAACTCGGGTCGCCGGGTTTGTAGGGCAGCGCAGCGCTAACAGCTACACACACAAACACAAATACGCACGTACACGCACAATGTATGCAGTAATTGTGAACGTGTACTTAAGGGAATGCACACACACACACACATGCCTGCGCTGGCACAAGTACAAACTCAGCACCTTCGTCATTAACGTTGCCTAACAAAATAACAAAATAATGTACACTGCAGCAATGGACCTCCGTTGCGTGCGGCCTGTGAAGAATGGCCCATCGCCAAGAACTTTGGGTTACGATGTAAAATTTTCTGATGCAAGGCACTGCTAGTAGGAGTGACGACAGCGATTTGTGTGCGTACGGTTGTGTGTTTAGTTATAACGCTTAATTTGACCGTCCCCGGCTCTTAAGGCCATCAACACAAACGTGCCGGACGCAGCTGAATGTCATTTGACATTCTAAACTAAGCTTGCTTTTTTATTTTACCAGGTAAGGCCCACTGAGCTATATAGCTCTTTTTTTATTCAGAAGCGACCTTGCCACAAACGATAGGTCAACGAAGTGGCTTATCACGTGGATAATATTTACAGCAGCCAAATACTCTCAACGCGTGGTGTTGATTCTAAATATGGATTGAAAAACCGGATCCACTCGACCACGGGGAGAACACGCAAACACCAAATATACAGCAGGCGTCAGGGTCGGCATCGAACCTACGACCCCCTGTATACGAGGCGAGGTAGTTAACACCTCGCCGCTGCCGTGCCCACATTCAGCCGATTGATCCCGAGCAGCAAGATCTGGTTGGCGACTCGCCGGTCAGCAGTTGGGTTTATCGAATCGTCTCACCCCGCGAAGTTTTGCCGTCGGCGATGAGGGTAGCGACGTCGCCATTATCTTCAAATGTCGCGCTGCGATTGCGTTGGTAGGCGCGATGGACGCAGGCAGCTGGCAGCTTTGCCCCCCCTCGCGTGGTCGATCGCCAGGGGGCAGAGGTCGCAACCGGGTACCCGATACCCGTACCCTACCCGATACCCGGCTACCCGTACCCGGCCAGGTACGGGTACGGGTACGGATACCCGTTTGCGACCCTGGTGCGGCTGGGTACGGGTACGGGTAGGCCGTGAGTCACTGGTGAGTAACCGTTTGTCACTCATTTCGGGAAGGGTACTGGTAGGGAATGGGTACCTGTACCCGGCCGGGTACGGGTACCTATTTGCGACCCTGGTGCGGCCGGGTACGGGTACGGGTAAGGAATCAAAATCCGTTTGCGACCTCTGCCAGGGGGCTTGACTGCTGAAGTGACCTCCGCCACTTTCGCCAGAGCTGCCTTGCGCACGCCTTGTGTGTTGCTGCACTCTTCTTCTTGTTTAAACCGGCCGCGGATCGTCGATTACAAATTCGCGAGTCGTTAGCGACAAATTGTCGCGTCTTCTCCTCGCGCTTCGTGGAGTGTGCCTGGCATGTTTGTTGAACGTGCGAGGCCTCCGATACGTTCAGATTGTCGCTGGGCATCGCATGGTTCAGTGGTAATTAATACGTTTGCAGGGACCCCATCGTGAGAGTAATGTTCAACAGCGAGCGGCGTGAGAGGCATTGGTTAGACCTCAACGCTAGGGGCTCAGTCTGCCGATGCACAAAGTCAGTATTTGCTTCTGGAAATGCTCGTCAAGCTATAACGTGTATCATTCTGAAAGCTGGCTATCTAGAATGCATTCCTTGTGACTTGCAATCATCCTGTCAGGTTCCATGCATTCGTAAAACAGACCGCTTGAGATGCAATCATTTCCTTGTTGATTGGATTTAAAAACCGTAATGGGCTCTTCGTTGCAACGGGGACTGCTGCTGTCCCTGCGCGTGTTGCATTCGCGGATTTTTCGTCTTAGTCTGCATAGGACACGTGCTTTCTGCACCCCCGTCACTTTTGCTTATCCCGCTGACACAGACGGGAAGGGACGTTTCTGCCTGCAAATGCAGAAAATGCACGCCCCAGTGTTTCAGTTTACGCTTTTGACCGCTGCACAGCCGAGCCAGCCCGGCACGGGAGGCTCCAGGTTTGTTTTTCCACCGCAGAAGCCGTGGCGTGACGCTGCGGCCTCGCGCCGTCACCGACCCGATGTCGCGCACGACGAACGCGTCGTTACCCCAGAGGCAGATTCGGACGTGTCGCATGAGACCAGCGTGTATCACGGCTAGGCTCTGCGCCGCATCGGCAAGTAGACGGTGGAAAACCACCCCTGCACCGTGAGGGTCCAGCTCTGGCTCGGCTCCGATGTGCCAGTGGAGAAAGGCGTGTTGAGTATTTGATGCTACTTCCGCACTCGTGCTATGCGGCCCGTGGCTATGAGTCACAGCAGTGAGACATCTCTGAGCGATGTTCATCGAATTTTTTGTGTAGTCTACTAAAAAAAAAAGCCTTGCTGTAATTCAAGAATATTTTTTTCGTGAAAGATTTAGTCCAAGATATTTGACGCAATTCATCTTGAGGTTTTTGCGTTTTGGAGGGAACCCACAAATGCAGAGGAATAATCTTAAAGCAATGTAGTGGATATCCTGTAAGGAACCTACTTGCTCCACTGCTCCCTACAAATAGGCATATTTCACACTTCACGGTTCCATATCCACATAAGCTCCCAACTCAACCTCAAGATCGTTGTTTGGAGTCCACCTTAAAGTGAAAGCTTCCCACTGCGTTTCAGTTGTAGCTTCTGATAAGTTTGACTGCACACGTTAGCTGTTCGTCCAGAGCAGGGACAGGTGGCACAGTGCCTAGCGCCGCACTGCGCTACGAACTCGGCGATGTCAGTTTCGCGGCTAACATCGGTGGCGAGTGATTTCTGATTCGGTCCTGGCCCCCCCCCCCTCCCGCCCCTTCACCGGCACACATCGACCAGCGTGGTAGAGCACGCTCCAAACAACACCCAGGCCTCCATCCAGCAGTGGGTGGACAAAGAGCTGAGAAGTATATTTTACGTATTCAATGAAGACAAAGAACGCTGGTGCATAAGCCAGCCTGTGTGTGTGCTTAGAGGCGCGGCACAAGCGGTAGCAGTGTGCGTGTGTCCGCGCGTACATTTGCACGTGCGTGCGTCCGTGTGTGTGTCCGCACGTATGTGTGCGTGCGTCCATGCGTGCGCGTGTCCGTGCGTGCGTGTGTCCGTGCGTGCGTGCGCACTTGCGTGCACCCTTATTGTTTTGTTCTCTCTGGATTCTCTCTGATAGAAAAATCGGATTGAGCAGCAGCTGCATGAGCACTTGCAAGATGCTATGTCTTTTCTAAAGGATGTCTGCGAGGTATTCCGCGCTTGCTCTGCCACTCATCGCGCATCTGCCCCACTCCCCCATTCCCCCCCCCCACCACCACCACCACATCCAAATCCCTCATCTCCCTGCGGCGCCGTTTCCATCAAATTGGCGAGCAAATCGGCTCTGCGGGTCGAATAACGCATGCGCGGAACATTTCATCCGCCCCTATCCAATGAATGACGGGGCGTTCGTTTTTATTGCTACTATTATTATATTTGTCATCTGCATAAGGTATTCTTGTAAATGTGGACAGGGTAAAAGTACAAAGTTTAGATTAAACGTACGCCACTGTTTATTTTTTTGACTTGATGGAAACTGCCGTGCGAGAATGTCCTCCGTGTCCTTCTGATTGGTCTCATTTGGTTTTCTCTTTCCGACTCCACGCCCTCCATTTCCTTTTGTTGTTATTGTTGTTGTTTATTTCTCGTCGCGTGGACTCTCTCCTCTGCCCCTCGCCGTCTTCCGTGCATGTCCACGCCGTTTCCTCTGTCCACGCCCGCAGTCCCCTCGGCCCTGCGCCGGGTCGCCCGTCTGTGAACGTCAACGTTTTTGTACTCTCGATGTACACACGGCATTTGTGTCTCTACTCTTCTGTTGTCATTTGCCTCGGTGTTTCCTGACAGAGTCCCTCGTAAGACGTAATCGCCATCATTTTCAAGCTTCATAATTTCTGACTATTTGGCCACTCGGTTTCAGACGCCAACATTAAGTGCTGAGCAGTGGCTACATTTGGGATCAAGTTAGACCATTCTTCTGTTGATTAACATCATTGCCCATCACATTGATGACAGGTCAAAGTCATTGATTTTACTGCGCAGTGTACACATGTTCAGCTTGCCATCTTTTTTCAGGCAGACAGAGAGAGAACAATCTCGTTTGAGTTTAACCTTTACTTTTAAAATCAGGTGAGAGTTTATTAACAGGGGAAACGGCTCTCTTCGCAAGGGAAACCTTTGGCAGAGCAGTAATACACACACACGTGGCACCGTGCGTCATCTTGCTCACGAGAGACTTGGGGACATCGCTCAACTTTGGTGCTGGGCCACCCACCCCCCTCGTGTGCCCTCTCGGCCTCCGTAGGTGCTGCTACTCGCTAACCGCGCTTGCCCCAACAGTCTGTTAAGGCGATAGGTGGGTTTCTTTGTCTTTATACGGTATATAACTATATATATACCGGTCATTTATACCTTTATTCACACACATGCGTCAGGCATGTACGCGTAGAAGATGTTATTTTTTTGTTTCTCTTAAAAGTCCGATGCTAAGGAATATCGACGGCATTGTTTTCAACAACAACAACAACGGTTTGTGTGTGTCATTGTCACAGCTGCGTCCCACATCCGAGCGGGGGGATGTCTCGGCGAATTGTTTCAGCGGACAACGCAACTCACTCGCTCCCCGCTTGCGTCTCCTCCCTCAAAACATTCTCTCGTGTGTTTCGTTTTCCTTTCGGGGGTCCCACCTGCTTTAATTAAAGGGGGGGGGGGGGTGCTGATTAATTAAGGACTGCCCAGGGTCACCCTTGGAAAAGGGATCACGAATTTAAATGTGCCCTAAAACTAATTAAATATGACATTAATTAAAATAAAGGGTTATGATAATATACGTATATATGAATAATAATCAACAAATCCAGGGGTGTGCGGCTGTCTTCCATCCTGTGCTTGCGACCACCGCTGCCAATACCATCACCACTCAACACCACCACCAATACCATCACCACTCAACACCACCACCAAATACCATCACCACTCAACACCACCACCAATACCATCACCACTCAACACCACCACCAATACCATCACCACTCAACACCACCACCAATACCATCACCACGTAACACCACCACCAATACCATCACCACTCAACACCACCACCAAATACCATCACCACTCAACACCACCACCAATACCATTACCACGCAAAATCACCACCAATACCATCACCACTGCCAATATCGCCACCACTGCCAATACCGCCACTACCACTGCCACCCAATACAACCGCCAGCAGTACCACCGCCAATACCACCACCACCACCACTACTACCACCACCAATACCACTACCAATACCACCACCAATACCACTACCACCACCAATACCACCACCACCGCCAATACCACTACCACCCCCTCTGACAATTCCGCCACCACTGACAATACCACTCCCATCATCCAACATCACCACCTGCACCACCATTGCCAACACCAACACCACCAATACCACCACCGCCACCAATACCGCCACCGCCAAAACCAGCACCACCAACCCCACCACTTCCAATACCACTTCCATCCAACACCACCACTGCCAACACCACCGCTGCCAACACCAACACCGCCAGTACCACCACCACCGCCGCCAATACCACCAATAGCATCAACACAATTGATACCTGCCTTGTTTGTGTATAAACACGCAAGTGTCTGTGTTTAAAGTACGCTTAGGGCTGTGCCCGCTCTCCATCAGCCTTTGCATCACACTGCACAGGGAGGTGAATGGCCCGATTCGCTGATGGTGGCGGCCGTGTAGATTCTAGACAGTTGTAGGCGTTCAGCACGTGACCGCTACAGAATGTTAGGCTGAGCTCCCCCCCCCCCCCCCATGAAACCCAGTCACTCCTGCGCCATATTTTTTGGTGGGGAAACATTCGACGACGTCGTTGTCTGTGGGCTTCCGAGTTATGAGGATAAACTTTGGCAATAGTCACGTTTCGGCGTCGTCACCCTCGGTTGGAGCATCATTAAAATCGCCGTCAAGCTGCTCACTCGGCCTCTATGTAGAAGATCGGACTTCGCTCGTGGCTTCTAGACTTTGTTTAAACACGGAGGGGCCCAGACACAACCGTTCTTTAAAATTCTCTCATTTTAATTTGTCGCAGACATTGGATTAAAAGCAAGAAAAAACTGATCCCTCCCGCCCCCCCCTGCACCCCACCCCGGCACCGCTGCCTTCCCGGCACAACTCTGCCCAAAACTCATTTGCATGCTGCGAACAAAGCCGGGCCATGAATTAGCTTTTCAAACAGCACGCGTCCACACAATCAGCCTTTTCAGAGCGAAAATAAATAAATCACCGGGTCCACTGTGTAAGCCTTTAAAAGAGACGCTGTGCTTATTAGATTGTTTAAAAAAAAAACGTTGGGATGAAAAAAAATTACACGGCTGCGGCGTACGTATATATATACATCTCCGTTGTTTTGTTGTCGCCGGGAACGCTCGGACACACGCCGTCTGTGTTCGAGGCGAGAGAGGACTTGCGGCTGCAGCGCAGAGCTGCGGCAGATTCATCCGGAGCTGTCGAAGCAGTAGCAGAAGAAGGCCTGGGGCCCGGTTACGCGCCGTGACTTTCTCTCGGCCTGCGTTCTACTCAACGGCCGACGAGTTTTAAAAGCCGCTCACTGGGGCACACCACGTGGCCAAAGGAGCCTCACCGAGCGGGTTGACAAAAACGGCGAGTCGCGAGGCCCGCTATTCTGCCGCTGCGTGGACGGCGGATGGAAAGTTGAGCGAGTCCCGAAAGACGAAATGCATGGGCTTCGTCGTTGCTGAAACACGGCGGCAGCCTGCGACCGGTACAAACGCCGTGGCACGCGTACGCCCGCGGCCGTCACGCAACGGCAGGAGCCCGTTAGCCAAGGGGGTCGGCTGGTACCGCCTGGGTTGGCAAATGCTACCAGTGTCGCTCGTGGGCAGTGCCGACTGTGGACAATGTCCCAAGTGGGCAGCTCCACAAAGAAAGTATCCCCCATGGGCATTGTTCACCATGGGCAGTGTTTACCATGGGCAGTGTTCACCATGAGCAGTGACCACCATGAGCAGTGACCACCAATGGGCAGTATCTACCATGGGCAGGGGGCCTGGCACACATACCGTCTGTTCTGTAGACAAACTCATCTATTCAAACTCATCTAGACAAACTCATCTATTCTCTGATTCCGTGGATGTTTCTAATGTTGTCAGCTGTCCCTTTTATCTTGCGTAGAAACTAAAACTAAACTATTTAAAAATGTTACCACGTAAGGCCCACTGAACTATGTAGCTCTTTTTCAGAAGTGGCTTGGTGACAAACGATCGCTCAATGAAGTGGTTCATCACGTGGAAATTTATAGCAGTCAGATAATCTTAACGCTTATTTTTAAATGTGGAGGGAAACACCGGAGGACCCGGAGAAAAATGAATGCGACCGTGGGGAGAGAGAACACGCAAAACTCCAACTATACAGGCATCAGTGTCGGGATTTAACCCATGACCTCGTGCATACCAGGCGAGGTAGTTAACATCTTACCACCGAGATATGAATTACCTCGTCCGTTAACTACCTTGGCCGTAGAAGGAGCTCTCATCGGTGGAGACGGACATCCTGACTCTTCCCCCCAATGATGTAAACATCACTTAGCTGCAAATCGTTGCTTTTAAAGACAAACGTTACAGTCGTGCGGAGAGTTTGACCCTTGGTAGCACAAGCCATCGCCGGCTGCACATCGAGTGAACTTTTACAGAACATAAACTTGGGCGGTTGAATTGCCCTGTGGTTGCCGTGCTTTCTCTAGAGTCAATTTCGTCGGGGTTTGACCATCGGATTACCTCCCTTAACCCCGATGACCGTAGATATCGGTCGGTAACGTTGATATTTTTTGACGAAACCTGTCAGAGGTCTACGTTGGAATGTTGGTTTTACATTTCACTGTTCCTCACTCCACCTTCCGTTGAGTGTTAATTCATTTTAAATCCCATTACAAGTATCCTGTTACCGTTTTGCTTGATAAGTTCATCCTTTCATCCAACATTGGTTGTCTATGTTCCACTTTGTAAAAATGATTTGCCTAAAAAGTTGAGTGCAAGGATTTGGACAGGTCATTGGGTATATTAAAGTGTGGCCAGAGATTACTCTAATAGAAATGCATTTATAGTATTTATTTGAGTATTTGGCTGCTACAAAATTCCACGCGATAAGCCACTTGGTTGAGTTATCATTTGTGGCGCAGGTCACTTTTGAAAAAAGACCTCTACAGCTCAAGGTGGGGCCTTACCTGGTAAAATAAATTAAGAAAAATGCAGTAACTTAGTTCGTAAAGGTGCACGATGACGGGGCAATGCACGGCACCACGGCGTAGTAATTTAAAGTCGGCTAACTTTTTGAAGCGCGGTTTGTTCGGCAGAGGCCAACGCGCACGCTCGCGGTTGCCCCCCCGCGCCCTGTCCTCAACGATTCTTCTTCTTCCTCTCGCCACCTTTCCCCCCGCCCACACCCGTGACCGTACCGACCAATAGCAGAGCAGGATGGAGGAGCGGCTGGACCGATTGGACGACGCCATCCACGTGCTCCACCGCCACGCAGTGGGGGCGCCGGGGCTGCCCGCGACCCACAGCGGCATCCTCAACGGCCTCATGGAGGGGCTGGCCGCGGGAGGCTACGGGCCCACGAGCGGTCTCGGCCCTGCGGGCAGTCGGCACTCGATGGTGAGTGCGGCCGCTGCTACTGCTGCGTTTGCGTTCTCTCTCTCTCAGTCTTTGCCCGCGTGCGTTCGCTCGGCCGCATGGGGAGTGGTGGCACCGCTGGCCATCGAACAAAGACGGTCACTGCATCGCTCTGCGCTTTCAGATGCGCTTCTGCGGCCGTCTGGAACGCTCTTCCGTCTGATATTAGGAAACTGCTGGCCCTATGCACTTTAAAATCCTCTAATTGAAAACTCAATTTTTTAGAACTTCTTTTTGTGTCTAGCTTGTTGTCCCTTCCCCTGCACCTCCGATTAGCACGGTTGGCTACGTACAGTACGACAGAAGTTCAACATACACACATACCCTATCAAGACGCCACGTCGCTCCTACGAGCCGAACGACTTTAGGGCTTGCCAGTCGGGAGCAGGACTTGGCTTGGGCCTCCTCTCTAATTACGGCTACAATTTTGAGGGGAGTTATTTGACCGTATTTCACCATGCCGTTCATTATTGTGGATTTTATTATGCATGTGTGAACTTCTTTCGCACCGTACGTAGCCAACCCTGCCAATCGGGTTGGTGAACGCAGGGAGCATAGGCGAGGAGGTGAAAACGGTAAGAGGAAAAGCGGGAACGGCGGAAACAGCACGACGCTGCAGCCCGACTAACTCATCCAGTCCCACCCAACCCACTCTTTGTAGACACGCGTGGGCTCGAGCTGCGGCAGTACCTCGTCAATCCCAGATGCGGTCTCTTCAGCCATCTTCGGGCGCACACATAATCCAACTTTTCCATGGAAAGACAATCGTCATCCTCGATTGTGAGGGATAGCCTGTGATGATGATGAGACGTGGAGCAGATCATTGCAAGTTCCTGTACTGCCCCCTACTGCCCTTATTATAGTTTTTATGCAATTGATGATGACCCCCCCCCCACCCCCTTGCCCCCGCGGTTGGAAATCCTGGACAGCACGCACGGCTCTGAGCCTGGGTTTGAATCCTGGGCACTTGTCCAGAAACAAAACTCGCTCTTCTCGAGCGGAGCGGAGCTCACGGTCCTCAGCCCAGTTTAGCGGCGACGAATGCAGGAAACACTATCGTTATGTTAACATCGTTGTTGTTTGTCCTTGTAGATTATCCGAGCTCAACTCTTGAGGGCTTTAATAACGTGTGCGTCGGTTCCCTGTCGAACACTCTCTTGAGAGCAGCGTGTGCATAGCGGCCCGCGTAACGGCACATATAAGAGAGCTGCATTGGGGAAACGGCAGGAAGCTTTTTTGTGTCGTCGTCATCGTCGTGATCGTAGATTGTGCTTGTCACTCGGCTGCTGGTCGGAGGCCGTGTCCAGAATGAGCATCTCTTGCCACGTGGTGTGACGGTCAGCAAGCTTTGGAGTGTAAATGGTGGTCATCCCATCATCTCACTCTCGCTCACGGTTGACACGACCATTGGGCAGTTGTCATTTGCAGTGCTGGACCCAAGTAATTGGTGAAAAATTCTGCTTGTCCATAATGGAGGTTTTTGTGTCGTTAAACCTACCACCACCCGACACAGCCAATTAGTAAGGTTTGTCACGTAAACAAAACATGCCAATTCGTTACTAGTACAGTACACCGGTGTGTTGGAGAGTAACCTCGCAACATTTACAATTCGAGTCCGACGTTTCGCTGGCGATTACAACCAGCATCGTCAGGCGACAGCCAGAGTTGTGGAGAAATCCTCCCGTTTCGTTAAGGGATAAATGTGGTGTCGTCATTAAGGATAAATGTGGTGTCGTCATTCGTGTGCCAATCAGGTGCGAAGGCCAAATTCTGCTTGTGTCTGTAGGAATATTAAATTCAACAAACAGCGGGTTGCGCAAGTCTCCGCGAATTTCGGTTTGTCAAAGTAGGTTAAATGCCGCAGTGTTACAGGACATTGAAACTGGTAGGAAATTGTTCGCGTGGAAATGCAAGGGGCTTAATCAGCTTCGAAGGTTGTTGCCACTGTGCGTTTCACAATGTCGAGTTTATTTTTAGTTTATTGGTAGATTAACTTTTCTGCAAAATGAATTACGGTGCTTGCCACTGCAGTCGGCTTTCCACCCTGGCATGGGCTTCAGCGGCTGTGTGTGCGCGCGTGTTTGACGAGCAGTGCAATGGAAAAAGAAAATCACCGCGGTACCTCTGCCTGCGTGCCTAACATTTAAAATAACGCAGTTATACTAGATGGGGGGGAGGGGTTAATCTGATGACAGGGGCCGAAAGTAGTTTACGTTTTTAAAAATAAAACGTAGCGCATTCTCGTAATAATAAGAATAACAGGCTACGGGGATTGTTTTTGCCGAACAACACGAGAGAACAGTTCACCCCCCTCCCCCATCCTGTTTTCAATATTCAGAGGCTCGTGCCGGAGACAGGGAGCCCTAGGGGCTCACGCGGCTTGTGTGGTTTTCACATTCCTCTCTTTTTTTATTGTTGTTGTTTTGGTGGGCTGGGGGAGTGGTGGTGGTGGTTGGGGCAACACCTGTCGTGCTGCTGTCTGCATTGCTCGCTCTCTTACAACCGCGTGCGGGGAACACGAGAAGAGGTGTGGGGGGGGGGAGTAAAAAAAACACGCAGAATGGCCTTGTCCAATCCACGTGCTTCGCAGTGCTTTCGTGCGCCTGCTGCTGCCGCCGCCGCCGCTTGTGAAAGGCCATCTTTGTCACGCACGTGTGTCACGCACGTGTGTATGTTGAACTTGTGTTCGCACCGTCACGTCGCCAACCGAGTGTGCGTGCGCGCGATTCCCGCCCACGGCCACCAACGGCAGTGACTTATTATCTGAACCGGTTCTTGGCTTTCCCTTAGGTGGACTAGGCATCAAATGAGAACCCGGTGCGGTGTGTCAACACGGAGACAAAGGCAGGCCGCGCGTGGTGCTGGCCACCCACCCACTTTGTGTGCCTTGCTGGCTTCATTACAAACAGCACTTCCAGCAAAAGTATGCCGTGACTATATGGGGGGATCTTTGTGCGTTGTGTGTGTGCTCGTGATAATATAGGGAGTGGTGGCGTATTTATGAGCACACTTAGCGACAATCATAGCGACCGAGGTCCGATTACCGGCCATAAACTCTCTAATCCCCGGCCAGAGCCAACCCCAGATCAACTCTGCCTAATATCTGTGCATTGTGCAGTCTGTGAACATCGGCGCTCGGGAGACGGAGGGAGGTGGTGACGCCTGGTTTCTGACCCCACCACCGTCATGTTTTTTTTACTTCTGGCGTCCTTGGGTGCCCTGATAGACCTCGCTGCTCAATGGAATAGTTTATTTTTTTTGGTTTTGGTTGTCGTCTGCATTTGCGCGCACGTGGTGTTGTTGCGGTGTACGTATATAAATGCGCGTGAGCAGTGCCAATTCAAGTTGACTTTGTTGAACCAGCTGAGAACTCGATAGAACCAGGATGAGTCTTTTTTTTTGTTCAACAGACTGACCTGCGGAGGCATTAGTCTGGCAGTAGGGGGCGATGATTGCTGCTGTGTGTGATCCCATAAATCAATAACCCCCAATAAATGTATCACGTTGATCTTTACGGTTAAGTGGGAGGGGGGGGGGGGGGAATCTGCCCTTGCGTGTTCGATAGTCGGGCCTAATGCACCGCCATTCTACAGCACGGGTAGAATGTTGTTAGACTTGGCGTACAGGACGCGTGGAAGCCGGGGGTCGAACCCAGGGCAAGGGACGTGATCAGTCCCAGCTGGCAGACGGGGCACGCGTGATGCTGGCCCCACCACCACCGTAACAACCTTAATAGGCGCTCTCTAACAACGTGCGCTCGAAAAGACTGAGCGGTTTAACAAAGAGATCTTTGTTTGCACGTGCGTGCCAGCGCGTATATAAACAAGCTGCGTGCCATTTGCCAAAGGTTAAAAATGTCCCTCTGCTGTACTCTACAAGCCTTTCACAGCCTGAGCGGGGAATGTGTACACATGTGCTGTTTACACTGGGTTGGTCATGTAAATAGATTTAATAAATGAATTAATAATAATAATGCGTGACCTTTATAATCATGTGAGAGCCCATTGTCGCAGCACATCTTTTGTAAGGCTGACATAGAATAATATTAACAATACCAATAATAGCCGTTATTAGCTGTGAATAATAATAAGTAGAAATATAAAGTAAATGGCGCATCAATAGTAATACGTTACGCATGATGGAATTATGCTTATCATATCCACACGCCCGCGGCAACGCACGTACATGCTGTTGATGCGTAGCCCAGCATGCGAGTTGCACCATTTCTGGTGGCACTGGTAAGCCCCACAGCAATGGGCAGTGAGTGGGCAAGTAAGGACCTCGCTAATGGTAAAACTTGGGGCTGGTTGTGGCCACATTTCACTTGGTTGTGCTTTGTACCACAAACTAATTTATATTACTCCAAATTAGATCACACAGCAGCAGCAGCAACATCGCCCTCTTCCACTGCGAAAAACTAAACTTTTTATTTTATTTTACCAGGTTAGGCTCACTTAGCTCTGTAGCTCTTTTTCAGAAGCGACGTGGCCGAAAATGATAGCTCAACAAAATGGCTTGTCACGTGGAAATTTATAGCAGCCAAATACTCTAAGCGCATGTTTCCAAATGTGGAGGGGAAAACCCGTTGGATCCGGTGAAAGATCCACACGACCACGAGGAGAGAGACAAGCAAACTCCAAATATACAGCAGGCGTCAGGGTCTGGATCGAACCCACGGCCTCCTGTATACCTGGCGAGGGAGTTAATGTCTCCTAGCCACAGTGGAGCCCAAAACTTGTCAGGACCCTCCGGAAAAAGAGTCTTGAGTATCGGTGGTGAGGCTTTCCCTGTGTAAACAAGTGGAATAACAATACAACAATAACCTTTGCTTTTTTGCATGCGTTAATTTGGCTGTTTATTCACATTTGCATATGTTTTGGTCAGATGTAGTAGGCACGGCAGCTTCATTTGTTTGGCAGATTTCATTAAGGGGGGTTGGGGGAGGTGACATTTGTCCTGGCATTCATATTTATTTTACTGGC